CACTGGAAAGCAAGAGGTGGAAGTGACTCTTCACCAGCCTCCTGGCTGCCATTCCTAGTAATAGTAACAAAAAGATGTATTTAGTTCCCCATTTCTGCACTGTAGGAATTCTTTGATTCTGTTCTATGATTTATCTGCTGTGTTATCACTGGGTTTCCTTGTAACTTTCAAACCCAAGGAACCAACTAACTGTCAAATAAACCTATTCATTTCTTCTACATAAAAACAGAAAAAATTTCGGAGACGAGGATTTTTTTTAAAAAAGAGGGTTGCAATTGCAATGACCACAGTTAATGATAAAACAAAATACCGTGCTAAACTAGAAGAACAGGCTTGACTGGCAGTTATAGGAAAGGGAAATAAATAAGTAATTGGCCGTTTTTCCACACTGAAGGATGGTAAAGTGTTTTATTTAAAAAGTATTCTTCAGGAGATATTGTAGTCAGTGGCCAGGCCATCTTTTGTGTTCCAGAAGGATGACTGGCTTTTGGGTATTGGAATACAATACATAAAATTGCAAAGTTTGCTAATGATACCAAAGTGGGAAGTGTGGCGAATGCAAAGGATGATCAACCAAAACAAAAATGGGGCAGACGGAACTTAATACAGAGAAATACGAAATGATAGAATTTGACAGATGAGTGTGGGAGAGGCAATATACAATCTTTGACATAGTTCCAAATATTGTGCAGAAAGTGGGATCTGGAGTGCCTGTGCTTTGAGCTTTGAAGATGTTAGAACATATTGATAGGGCAATTAGCAAAGCATATAGGAACCTGAGCTACATAAAGAAAGAGAGGAAAGCAGAAAGGTCACATTGAAGCTCCAAAAATTCCTGGGTAGGCCACAGCTAGAGAACTGCATCCAGTTCTGGTGGCCACATTTTAAGATGATTGAGAAGTTCCCCAGAAGCGCTGAGGAGATTTACTACAGTGGTTCCAGGAATGGGGATGTTTTAGTTATGAGTTCAGGTTGAAGAAGCTGGGGTTGCTCTCCTTGGAGCACACAATACTTGACGGGAGATTTGAAAGCTCCATACGAGAGTATGTCGGCTTGGATAAAGTAGACAAAGAGACAGTGTTTTCATTAGGTGATCTTACAAGGACTGGGGGCCACTGATTATCTTTTTGGCAGAAGATATGGGGAGGATATAAGGAAGAAGTTTTATTGTACAACAAATTTTATTGGTTTGAAACTGTATACCCTCAAAGGCTGCGTAAGCTGACATGGCCTACAAGAAATCTGGAAGGCACTTGAAGGAAATAAAATTTCAGGCCATTGGGATTGAGTGGAGAAATACTTCTGACTGGGTTGCTCTGCAGACAGCTGGCAAAGACTCAATAAACCAAGTGATCTCAGTCTATTCCATAAATATGCCTCTCAAAAAAACCCGGAAATTGACACCTACAGCACGTCTCAAAATGTGCCCATTAGAATATGAAACAAAATATACTCAAAAAGAGTTTGCAGATACCACTCCTAGCAGTTGAAGATTTAATAAGACAGAAAAAAAGTACTTTCTACACAGCATCAGGATCCTGATTCTACTCATTGGGAGATTTGCAACCACCACTTGTTATTAGGATCATTGGAGTAATACACATTATAAGATATTGCTAGGGTGCATGTTTAAGTTTTCATAGGATGGGAAACAGTAAAAAGGGAGGACTGCCTAAGTTTCCGCCTGACAGAGTCTGTCTTCATAGAGAAATTCAGGCTTGTAGTTATCTGAATGCAGAAACAGCTCCAATTCCTAACCACTCTAAACATAGATATTGTGCTCACTCACCTCCAGTTAGATCTTCAACTGACCAAAATCAGACCTAAATTATACTTGCAACCTTATCAGATAGTTGTGTTATCAAATAAAAAAAAAAGTGCTAGAGAAACCCAGCAGGTCTAGCAGCATCTATGGAGACAGAAACAGTTAACGTGAAAAGGAGAAAATGGATCTGCTCTGCACAGAGCAAAGCTAACACAAAGCTATTCACAATCTATATTGATGATCTGGATGAGGGAACAAAATGTAACATCTCAAAGTTTGCAGATGATACCAAGTTGAGTCAGAGGGTGAACTGTGACAAAGATGCAGAGATCTTTCAGCAAGATCTGGACAGGTCAGGTGAGTGAACAGATCAATGGCAGTCACAGTATAATTTGGATAAATGTGAGGTTATTCACTTTGGAAGCAAAAACAAGGCGGCAGATACTACCTTAATGGCTGTAAAATGGGACAGGGGAGTGTTTAGGAGGACCTGGGTGTCCTTGTGCACCAGTCGCTGAAGGTAAGCATGCAGGTGCAGCAGGCGGTAAAGAAAGCAAATGGTATGTTGGCCTTCATTGCAAGAGATTTTGAGTACAGGAGCAGGGAAGTGTTGTTGCAGTTACACAGGACCTTGGTGAGGCCACACCTAGAATATTGTGAGCAGTTTTGGTCTCCATTTCTGAGGAAGAATGGATACTCTTGCTCTCAAGGGAGTTCAACGAAGATTTATCAGGCTGATTCCAAGGATGGCGGGACTTACGTATGAGGAGAGACGTAGGATTGTTTTCACTGGAGTTCAGACGAATGAGTGGGGGATCTCATACAGACTTATAAAATTCTAAAAGGACTAGACAGGGTAGATGTAGGGAGGAGGTTCCCAATGGTGGGTGTGTCCAGACCAGGGGTCACAGTCTGAGGATTTGGGGTAGACCATTTGGGTCAAAGAGTGGAATTCATTAGCACAGGAAGTAGTTGATGCCAAAACATTGAATGTATTGAAGATGTGGCTAAATATAGCACTTGGGGTGAATGGGATCAAAAGTTATGGAGAGAAAGCAGGATTAGGCTAATGAGTTGCATGATCAGCCATGATCGTGATGAATGACAGAGCAGGTTCGAAGGCCAAATGGCCTTCTCCTTCTCCTATCTTCTATGTTTCTAATAAGACACAGCCAGGGTAAAATAGTGTAACCAAACAAAGGGCAGAGAGCATGCACTGAACTCTTGCAGTGAACTTTGCTGGAACACTGTAGCAAGCCCAAATTGGAAATACTAGCATGGGAGCAAGATGGTTTAAAAGAAATGGAAAGCAACTGGAAGGTCTGGGTCATTCTTACAGTGTGGAGGTGTTCTGCAAAGTGGCCACTCAGTCTGCATTTGGTTTCGCCATTGTAAAGGAGACCAGATTGTGAGCAGTGAATGCAGTAGGCCAGATTAAAAGTAGTACAAATAAAATGCTACTTCACCTGGAAGATTGATTTGGGGCTTTGAATAGCGAGGATGAGGAAAGTGAAAGGGCAAGTGTTTATCAATTGCATGTAAGGTGCCATAGTTATTTTTTGGGATGGGGTGAGGAGTGTTAGGAGCAGAGCAGGGTACCACTGAGGGACAGACTACTTTGGTCCATTCAACCAACTTTAGAAGAAAATGCTATTCTTGCTTACACTCATTTCTCAATTAAGGTCACTAGATTATTCTGTTCTTACCTCACTGCTGTTTGATTAGATCTTGCTATGTAAATACTGCCTGCTGTGCTTCCCTTCATTAGTTCAGGACTATCCATGAAAAATACTTCACTGGCTGTAAAACATTTGATATGTTCCTGAGGTCATGAAAGAAACTACATACATTGTTATGTAGGTTCGTTCGGTAGCCAGACTGAAAGATAGCAACATCAAACGTTCTTGGGAAAATTTGTTGATAATGATCTGTCCTAGCTAGATTACATAATAAAATTTCACAATTATATCAGCCTAATTCAAAGTATTCAGCAAATGGCTGGAGGTACTGTCCCACCAACTTCTGAAAAAGGTCGAATTTGAGCAATTAATAACCTCAGGTAAAAGCAACTTGCACCTTATAGACACCACTTAAATGCAGTATTTTCTTCATGTTCATGATAAAGCACATGGTGCCCCCAAAACTGCTCAACTTAGTCTATACTCCAAGGGAAGATGAGCTTTTGCAAAGGAGAAAATATTCAAATGTCAGCTGCATTTACAAGAACATTTTCAACACAATTCACTTGAAAGGTTTCACTGAATAGAATGAATTAAAATTGCAAATGGCAATTAGATTCAACTGAAATTGAAACGAGGCAAAATTCTTAGTGAGGTAAGGTTAAAAAAATTCACTAAGCTTTTAGTTAATGGTGGGGACAATAATTGCATAACAAATTGTAGATGATTTAATCAATCTACAGAAAAATAGCAGCTTGACATTTTCAAAGTTAATATTTGTTCACCACTCCTAGAAGGTTTATTTTGAAGTCACTGAATTTCAGTATTCAAAAATTCACATTCTTTCTTTAATTAAAAAAACTTTAAAAACAATCACATTATTTATCATAGAATCTTAAATACAAGAAATGTCTCTTCCTTCAAGGGAACTGAATGGCCAATTTGGCCAAGCTCACCCTTAATTTGTTTTGGGTGTAGTCGTCATTTACAGCCAGATGTTTTAAGATTTCTGTTAGACAATGTGCTGAACTTCAGAAATAGCAAGTGGAGGTAAAATAACCATTCTATAAAAAAAGCCAATTATGGTTTCAAGCAAAAGCAATGCAAAGTTGAAAATCAAGACAAATAACTGACAGCATGAAATATATGCATTCAAGATAAAAATAAACTTGCACTTTCACCGGATGGGGCCAAAATGTAATTCAAATTGTAAGGAAGATACTGCATATACAGAGCTAAAACACAATATCTTACATAAGCCTTGCTAAAACTCTTTGGATTGTAAATGTTGAAAAGTCACACACAATGTATCTTTAGAGAACACTTTGGTAGAAATTCCTTCCCTTAGGAGTTCATTACTTATACTGCTAAGCCGCAGAGTGAGTTATGTACCAGTGTCTTACTAAGCTCTCTAAAGACGGCCTCCGCCATTTCAAGTTTAGCCAACAATGACTACTATGCTGAGAATAATTGTTACAGGCATTTTCATTTCAACAAAAGTGCGTTATGTCTTACACAAGCGTAAAATAAAACCCACTTAAATATTCGTTACTTACCCAGCCCTAACAGATCGATGGTTGACTGTGCTACCTTGTGAGGGCTCATTCTAGTATCCACTTGGTCTTTCTTCTATCATTAAAAGAAGATATGAATTAATACAGTTAATTAAAATAATCTTAAATAATTACAGCCACTGAAAGATCATTCCCATCACTATTTTCTTTTATTCACATGTAATCACCCCCTTCTTTGTTCTACATCTTTGTTAATACTTTCTTGACTGTCAGCACAGTGATCCCCAGTCCTCTTGCTCCTGATAATCTAATAATCTATAATCTACCATCAAGCATACTGGTACAATAAAGTTGCATTCATACAGTACCTTTAAACAGAAACAAAAAATCAAAAGTGCCTTGAGGAGTGTTAGAAACAGAACCCAATTTTAAGGGGGAAATTTTGCTGAGACAAGCAAAAGTCTTTTGGTCAGCTGCAGAATATCTAACCGACACACCTTTGATCATCCACAAAAGGGACAGAGAAAATGTTGTGGAGTGATTTAGAAAGGGAGTTCCAAAAGCTGGGTTACAAAACTGAAAGCTTTACTTTAAATGGAGAGGAAACCAATTAGAGGAACAAAAGGCTTGAGATGAGAGTAATGGTTGACAGTCATAGACATAAGGTAAGGCATAGCTATGAAATAAACTGTTTGTTAGCTGATTCAACAACCCTCCATAAGTTAAGTCAGATCTGAGTATATGTATAAGGCTTTTACAGTGGTGGGTTTAGAGAAGTGAAGTCAGAGTGATACAAGTCTCCGACTCTCAGTAAACTCTCTCTATTTTCTGACAGAATGCGAGCAAGAGCGCGCAGGCGGACGCAGACAACAGTGAGAGAAGGTGCTGCCGTAGCTAGCGAGAGTGCAAGGAAGAGAGACAACAGGAGCAGGCAAGGGTGAAGGGGGCAATCTTCCTTACTGATTACTACATTTCCAAGGTTTGTGTTATCTGTAAACTTGACAATTATTGCAGTATAAAGCAAATCATGATGTAACAAAGACATCAGCAATCATTTAGAACAGACTGTGAAGAAAGGACAGAACAGGCTGTACTAGTGACAGATGTACTTGGACAACAGTATTAAATACAATGTTGTCAAGTCAGACAACAGGGCCATTACAACCACAAACTACCAGAGACAAGAATAGGCATCACTTCAACATTCAGAATAGAACCCCAAACTGGAAGCCTCGAACCCTGTCATTAGTATGGAGCACTGATATTAATACTGCATATCCAAAGACATGTAGGTTAGATGGATTGGCCATACTAAATTGCCTTGTAGTGTCCAGGGATGTGCAGGCCAGGAGGATTAGCCATGGCAAACGTGGGGTTACAGGGATAGGTAGAGGGTGGGTGTAGGTGGGATGCTCTTCGGACGGTCAGTGCAGACTCAATAGGCCAAATGGCCTCTATCTGCATTGTAGGAATTGTACGATTCTATTCTAAACTTCCCTTCTGTCTGAAAAACTACCATTTACTGATTTCTGTGACTTATCAAAGTCCCTAAAACCTATTGTTATTGTGAATTCAAAGCCTTTAACGTTGTCCACAGACGTTCTCAACATTAGTTCCTGTAATTATGGATATTGTACATGATGTCAGAACATCACAAGGGCTTTCAGGTTTTTGAGACTGCCAGTAAAGTGGCCACAAACAAAATTCAAATTTCCGCAAAAAGAAACCAGCTTTGGGTCAGTGAGAATTAGGTTATGCTCAAGTAGATAATTTTCACAAAATGCAATTGTCTCCAAATTATATGTAGAGGTTCTCTCAAATTACCAGAATTGTTATCATCCAAGAATTATCTAATGAGTTTACATAACAAGTTATATATCCAATTAATGCATCAAATTATCCTACTGCGCCTATTCAAGGTTACTTCATTCCTTCCATTTTGTTCCTCAAAGCAGACTCAACAGCTCAATCAGACCATAACTACAACCATCTTTTCCTTGTAATATTTATGCTGAACTTGTACATACTTTCCAGAAATGCTGCCAGATAGTAGTCAGGATTAAACCTGACAAATATACACATGTAACAGAAGCAAACTACAATCATATTAATAGCTTAGCAAACTTCTGATATTTTGCGTTATAAGCATTCAATTTCTACTCCAACTTTATTCAAATTAGCAATGTTCTGCTTCTGGAACTGAGCAATTTTGCTGATTTAATCTAAAAGGTAAGCATCAAAACAGACCTTGTGAGATTCACCCAAGCAAAGATCCTTTCACAGATACTGATGATAATATTTTAAAAAACTGTCATCACTAAAAGCTGCTTCATTTACTTGTACGGGAAAATTTTCACAATCAATCAAGTGAAAAATATCTCATGACTTGATATCAGCTTCAATCATAGATTTATTTTTCCAATTTGTGTGTTTGCAAGAACACTTAGGATTCCAGATTTCTTTGACAGGTTGGGGGAATGAGTAGACAACTGCAGATGAAATTTGATGCAGAGAAGAAGTCTGAAGTCATTCAATTTAGTGGAAGAACATGGTGCAGAAAGAGCGAAGCCTGGGGATACGTGCTCACAAATCATTGAAGGTGGCAGGGGATTGAAGAGTGCAGATTAATAAACAAAAGGGATTGTGTGTTTTGTAAACAGGAGTACAGCCAAGAAAGCCATGCCAAATTAATAGAAACTCTAGTTCAGCCTTGACTGGAGTGCTGCATTCAGTTTTGGGCACCATACCTCAGGAAGATTGTGAAGGCAATCCAAAGAGTGCAGGAGAAAAGTTCACAGAATAGTTCCACGGAAGAGAATTTCAGTTACATAAGCAGTTGGACCAGCTGAGACTTGTTTCCTCTGTGGAAGAGACTGTTAGGATGAGACGTGAGAGGCACTGTCAAAGCCACAAGAGGTTTGACCAGATTAGGCAGGGAAAAATGAAGTTCCCATCAGGAGAAGTATCAAGAAACAGACAACACAGATTTAAAGTATCTGGCAAAAGAAGCAAAGGTGACATTAGGGAAATACTTCTACATTCCCAGTGGCTAGGATACGAATCCATTGCCTGACAGAGTGGTGGAAGCAGGTTCAATAATGGCTTTCAAAAGGGATTTGAGTAATTATCAAAGAGGAAACATTTGCAAGGTTCTGGGGAAAGATGCATGTGTGGCACTAGGTTAAATGTTCTTGCAGAGAGCGAGCACAGCCAACAGGCTGAAAGGTCTCCTCCTGCTTTGTCACTATTCTATAATTCAGTTTGGGTTGTAAGCAGTAGTTAGCATTGACATTTAGGTTCTGGCAGAACCATCTACAATGCACACCGTTCTCTACATTCTACAATAATAACAGAAATCATCACCCTCAACCAGATCTAGCATCACTATGGAATCATCTACTCCCTTTACTATTTTTTCTGTGCTCATCAATTTCCATTTGAAATGCACATGATCAACTTGTAGAAATGTATCTCAATCTTCTCTCTCAGTTTCAAGCTCTTTATGCATATCTTGACAGTTGAGGTCAATGAAAATTTCAAAACAGGCCTTAACAGACATTTTCAAAGGTACGATATGAAGATGAGTCGAGTTGTGGACAGTGCGGAGGGCTGTTCTAGGTTACAAAGGGACACTGATAGGATGCAGAGCTGGGCTGAGAAGTGGCAGATGGAGTTTAAACTTGAAAAGTGTGAGGTGATTCATTTTGGAAGAACAAACTTGAAAGCAGAATACAGGGTTAACAGAAAGATTCTTGGCAGTGTGGAAGAGCAGAGGGATCTTGGGGTTCATGTCCACAGTTCCCTGAAAGCTGCCACCCAGGTGGATACAGTTGTTAAGAATACGTATGGTGTGTTAGCTTTCATTTATTGAAGGACTGAGTTCTAGAGCCGTGAAGTTATGCTCCAGCTATACAAAACCCTGGTTCGGCCACATCTGGAGTATTGTGTCCAGTTCTGGTCGCCTCATTACAGGAAAGATGTGGAAGCATTAGAAAAGGTGCAGAGGAAATTTACCAGGATGTTGCCTGGAATGGAGGGAAGGTCTTACGAGGAAAGGTTGACAGAGCTAGGGCTTTTCTCTTTAGAACGACGAAGGATGAGAGGTGACTTGATAGAGGTGTACAAAATAATCAGAGGTATAGATAAAGTGGACAGCCAGAGACTTTTTCCTAGGGTGGAGGTAGATATTACGAGGGGGCATAGTTTTAAAGTGAGTGGAGGTAGATATAGGGGAGATGTCAGAGGTAGGTTCTTTACTCAGAGAGCGGTAGGGGCGTGGAATGCATTGCCGGAGAGGGTAGTGGAGTCGGCCTCATCAGGGGCATTGAAGCGGCTATTAGATAGGCATATGGATGATGGTATAGGGTAGGGGTGGAGGTTAGACAGACCTTAGGTTTAGGGTAAAAGTTCAGCACAACATTGTGGGCCGAAGCGCCTGTACTGTGCTGTACTGTTCTATGTTAGCGTTCAGACTGATTTTTAAACAGTTGAAATGAGAGTGTAGTTCATGCTCATTCTGTGCAACCACTTGTCAATCTTTCAGTGACTCACCGAATCACCTCATGCCAGACAAGCATGCTGCTTTAAATATTTTGTTTTTGATTACATGACATCATGCACTACAATCTGCACTGGGTTTTCATCTGCCATAATTCTTTTATAAATATAATCAAAGCCTTTTGCCATTTCTTGGCTACAGTTAGGTTAGACTGTTCTATCTAATTAGTGCCACCTCAATTTGACAAATATACCTCAAATTTCAGAATCAACCTCGTTTACATACAGGTATTTCTTCTATAACAAGACAGTTGCATTCTTGTGTGACTTCGTGCTACAGAAAATCGCGTTATAGGGAAATCACAATAGAAAATTGTTATACTGTACAGTAGAAAATTCGTCTTCAGAAGGTTCTGGGCCCGAAACGTCAGCTTTCCTGCTCCTCTGATGCTGCTTGGCCTGCTGTGTTCATCCAGCTCTACACCTTGTTATCTCAGATTCTCCAGCATTTGCAGTTCCTACTATCTCTCTCCACTATTCATCAATCGCATTACAGCCAATTCACATTAACCAAACACACATTATGGCCTAAAACATGAGGGATTCAGCACTAATCTC